TCTTGACAGTACTCACCTGACCCTCCTGAGCTGAAAAATCCCTTATAGCTTGATGGAGCCCTGGAAATCCAAATCCAACCCCATAGCCAATCCTGTTTCAAGAGGAGGGGAGACTAGAGACCTCCTGATCCTTTTCAAATTCAATTTTCATATGATCCTATGAAGACACCATGCTTTTCTCCAGTATTTAAATAGTCTTCATTCCAGTAGGTAAATTTATTAATCAAACTTTGTACCAAGTAGCTTTGGATTATTACACTGTGATAATTCCACCTCTACAGTACAAGATTCCCTTAGACAAAAAAGGCAATGAAGAATGCATCCCATAAAACAATAAAATATAGCTATGGTTGTTGCTATGGAATGAAGTTGCTGCAAATTCCACATAAACTGGGAATTTATGCCAGGAGTTCTTCAAAGTACTGTGGCTGGCCTTCCAACAATGTGAAAATGTTAACACCAAGGCTAAGGGAGCTTGAATATTTTTCCCCTTCCTTTGTGTAAACATGATAATATTTCTCTGTGTCCTGGCTTGAAACCCTCTTGAGCTGCGGTGGGTGCCAATAGACAGGATGTTTGTTCTGCAGCAGGAGGCTTGTTCTGCAACAGGGCAATCAAACTACTCCTGTCAGAGCAGGTCATAGCCACCTTCTCTTCTCCTCCACTGCAAACTGCTGATGACCCAGGTCATAATGGTGCACAAATTTTCTAATATAATTCAATGAAGGTGGACAAAATAAATAAAAATAGATTTATTTGTTTTCTTCTTGAATACAATTCATTTTTTAAACCATATCTTGTTGTATTTCTGCAAAGGATTACCCCAATCCTGGTTCTCTCCCAGGTCAAAAAGTCACTGCTGGAGAAACCTTGCTTGATCACAAAATGTAGCTCCTCATGAAGCCTTGCTCAGAAGAGAGCCTTGATGCTTAACTTCAGCATTTGTTGCTGTGTAGGGCCATACCACTCCTCTAGACTATTTCTTGAAAACAATTTTCATTTCCTCATGTAAACCAAAAACAGTTTGCACAGGAATATGTAAAGGCATTTCTCTTTTTTGGAAGATTTCTTTTCCCATAACATTTTGCTTCAGTAGAACTTACTTCATCAAAAATTTATTTCTTAGCTCCTAGAAATGTGTTTTCTTTCCTCTTTTGTCTGCAACCTTCTACTCAGAAACAGTCTCTTGAGGATCACTGTTTCAAGGGCAGAACTCCTACTATGCAAAATATGTAACCCTCAGGAAAATGCTACCTTTGAAATTTTTCCATTCCAAACAAAAAATCAGGATGTAGAAGCAGCCCAGAAAAGGTGTTTGGGATAAAAACGTTTGATCAGATTGAGTAAGGGTTGTAACCTCTCATTACAGGCTTTTCATTGTACTATATGACTTTATTCTCTTTCTACAGATTTTCTACACCTACTTGCTTCTCTAAGTGCTCTTCTTTTCCTTCCCATTTCTCCCCAGTTTTCAATTCTTTGCTTTCTTCAGTCAAATTCCTCTATCTTCAGAACTTCAACTTGAGACTTCCATTCCTAAAGTTCTCTTCCCCTCAACATTTCAACCTGCCAGTCCCAAGCCATGATGAGGCCTTTTCCCCTCCGTGGGAAAAAACAGTGAGTGGTAGCTGGGATTTTCTAGAAGACCTGTCACAAATGATCACATTTCAGAAGAAATTTAGGTATGTTAGGAAGCAGGCAATTGGGCTAATCATGAGCTCACAGAAAGCAAGCACAGAGAAAGCAGATTTTTCCATGGGATGAGTGCAGAAATGCTGCTTGGCAAGAATGGGTAAGGACAAACGCACACACACACAAAAGCCATACAACAAAGTAAAGTTAACTAGCAAGAGCATCCCAAGTAATGAGAAATCATTGGATAAGTACATCAGTGGTAAGAAGTCTCAAAATCAAGAGACAAAGCTATTGACTGATGCCAAAGATTGCCTCAAGCCATCTTTGCACCAGCCTTGGCTAGAAGAGGTCAGTTTTGATCAGCTGACTGATGTGATACACATTAATGACAAGGGAATAAGGCTTCAGCCCAGGCTGGGGCAGAACCAGTTACAAGAGTACTTAGGTGACATCGAGATGTTCAAAGCAACAGTCTGGCTGCACTTTTTTGCCAGGGTAGTGAAGGAAGTGGCTCAAACAGCACTGGAAACACTAGTGTTTATCTTTGAGAATCCAGGGAAAATGGGCAAGAAATTAACAAACTGATGCCTGTCCTTAAAAGTGGCCTTTGAAAATAAATAAGCCAGACTTTTGTCCCAGAAATCTAGTACAAATAGACACACAATTTGTAGACTGATAGGAGAAAACAATAGGGTAAGCAGCTATTAATATGAACTTGTCAGCTACAAACTGGGACAATCTGGGCACATTTCCCTGAGCAATGAAGAGTAGATCGTGTTATGGAAGACAGGAGAGTGGACTCCACTCATCTGTGCCTTAGTTAGGCGCTATGCATGGGCTTACAAGGAAGGGAGTTCAGTTTATTTGAAAAATTTGGGCAGGGGGTACAGAAGTTTGGAAACAGTTGTCAGTGTTTTACAAGCAAGAGGGTGGATTATAAATGCAGCTCCAAAGGGGGGTGTTTCATTACCAGCCTTCTGAGCTGGCATTAACTGGTGAGCAACTGTAAACACATCAGAGGGTGAAATAAGAATTCAAAATAACCTTAAGAAGCTGCTTGGAAAGTCAAAGAACATGACTGAAAAGCAACGAGAGGAATTGTTTTTGCAGGCAGGGTTACCCCCTGCCCACACAGAGGCTGGGGCATTGCTCAGCACAGGCTGCAGACACCAGCTGAGGAGTGACCAAAGAGCTGCAGGCAGTCAGTGGCCAAAGAGACTGCAGCAGAAGCAGGCAAACTGCAGATGGTCATCTTAAAGAAAACATTGCACAGGGACGTGACAGCAGCCATCAGATGTAAAAGGACACTGTAACACAGAAAGAAGAGACTTCCCTTGGCAGGGACCACCACATTCACATTTCAGCAAGGAATATTCAGAGAGGAGGATAAAGTGTCATCTGGATAGGCTGTATGGCCTCTGAAGTACTGAGTGTTACTCAGAGCAGAATCCAGGGAAGCCTCACAAAAGGGACACAGAGACACACTGAAGTGGTGTAGATGTGAAACCTTTATGTCCTCTGTAAGACAAAGAGCTAAAGAGAAGAAGGTCTAAGGCGTTAACGGTGTACCATAATTTGCTAGCAGAGACCAGATCAAGTACGTGAAATTCCATCAATAACTTGCTCTTCCATTTACATTTGGCAATGACACCCATCCTCTTCTAATGCACACAAGCATTTTCTGCTCACTAGCTGTGTTCACGTGTACAAGCGTATATTGATCTGTTTTCTCTTTCCCTTCTTACAAAGGAAAAAATAACCGCAAAGTTCAGTAATGCACGGGCTGTGCTCTACGATGAAAATAGTCGGAGGCACTTACACGCTGAAGTAAATTTAGCTTAACATAAAAATAACCTTCACAAATTTGAAATGCCTGTTTTACAATTAACGTCAGGTGCTAACAGGATATAATTTTCTTCAAAGTGTGTACTAATGTGACAGGCTGACTGAAGCGATGCAGGGACGTCTCCTCGCCGCCCTCTGGGTCTCAGAAACGCCTCCTTCACCTTTCAGCTCTTCCCATTGAGTCTCGTCCTTTCTTCAGCCACACAGGGTGCTCCTGCGGCTCGGCGATGCGGTGCGCTCCCGCCCAGCCCGCTGCAGCCGCGCTGCGTTATTAAAGGCACACAAACCGCGTAAATAATTGATACGGAGCTAGCGCGCTGCGGAGCCGGGGCGCCTCCTCCTCTCCCCCAGCCCTCGCCCTGCTCGCCCAGCGGCCCTACCTGCCCCGGCCCGCCGGAGCGCGGCGCGGCCGCGGGGCGGCGCGGAGCCCCCGCGGAGCCGCCCCGCGCCCTCCCCGCCCCGCGGCGCCGGCCCGCCCCCGGCGGCAGCGGGTCCCTGGCGGGGGCCGGGCCGGGCCGGCGGCGCGGCGGGAGCAGGTGCGGCCGCCCGGCACCGCGGGGGCGGAGCGGGGGGCGGTGGCGCCGGCGCCGGGCCGGCAGGTGGGGGCCGCCGGGAGGCGGAGGGCGAGGAGCCGGGTGGGTCTGTCCGCCCGCCTCTGGAGGTGCGGCCGGCGGCACGGCGCGGCGAGCGGGCTGCCGCGGGAGGCGCACGGCGGTGGCGGCGGCGGTGACCGCGTCCGCAGCCCGGGCCGCGGAGGGGCCGGCGGGGCCCCTTGCTGCAGAGCCAGATGTGCGGGACGCGGGGCTGCGAAGGGTCGGCGGGGAGGTGCCGGGGGCTGCCGCCGCCGCTGCTGCCGCGGCCGGGGGGGAGCCCTTAGCTGTGCGGGAAGCGGGGAAGCCGTGTCGGGAGCTGTTATTTTCTTCTCCTCCTTCCTTTGCCTTCCCTCTTGTCCCTCCTCCCCCTCCTCACTAAAACCGGGAGAGGAGGCGTGTTCGTTGCCTTGCTGCACCGGTTTTGCTTGGCTTGTTGTTGCAGGGTTTGGTTCTCAGGGTGGCTGGTTTTTTTGGTTTTTTCTCTTTTCTCTTCCAACCTCTCCGCCTTCTCCCTTCCTCTCCTCTGGCCCATCGCATGCTCGGATCCGGCTGGATCCTTCCTTTGCTTTTCGGCGGTGCCTCTCGGAAGGGGGAAGGGAGAGCTGGGATGAGTGCAGCTTGACGCACAGGAGAGGAGCGGGGGGGCACCGCCGGCAGCTGCAGCGGTTCGTGGCCGCAAGCTGCGGGTGAGAAACGGAGAGAGCGAGGGGCTCCCTCGGTGCCTCCCCCTTTTTTCGCCCCTGTCCTTCCTCCCTCTCTCCCTCCCCCATTCGTCTCCTGCCGGGTCCGGCTGGGAGCGTGTGTGCAATACCTTACGTTGTAAGGTGTGTGTGTGTGTGTGTGTGCGCGGAGCAGAGGGAGGGAAGGACTCGCGAGGGAGCCGGGGCTGCCCCGGCCCCCCCTATGTGAGCCTCCCCGGGCGGCTGGATGGCGATAGACCGACGCCGTGAGGCGGGCGGCGGGGGCCGGCCGCTGCCCGAGGAGAACGGCTCGGTGCCGGGGGCCGTGGGGGGGGGCGCCGCTGCCCCCCCGGGGCCTCCCCCCGCCAACGCCGCCGGGGCCGAGATCCAGGCGCTGCCGGTGCCGCCGCCCGCCGCCGCCTGCAGCCCGCTGCTCCTCGACTACGACGGCTCGGTGCTACCCTTCCTTGGGGGGCTGGGCGGCCGGTACCAGCGGACCCTGGTGCTGCTCACTTGGGTCCCGGCGCTCGTCATCGGCTTCAGCAAGTTCTCGGACTCCTTCCTCCTGGACCAGCCCGACTTCTGGTGCCGGGAGGCGGACGGGCAGGGCAACTGGAGCGGGACCCTGGCGCCGATCCACGCCAACCACAGCGGCAACGGGAGCATCTTCCCCCCGCCCGGGCTGCCCACCCCCGCGGGGGGCAACGCCAGCGAGTGCGGCTGCCGCGAGTGGCACTACCGCATCAGAGCCGGCCTCGTCCAAAACGTCGTGAGCAAGGTGAGAAAGGCGACTTCCCTCGGCCCCCCTCCCTGTCCAGTCCAGCCCTCACGGACCCTCTCGACACTCGCTCTTTCCAAGGCAAGGGGAGCAGCTGGACACGACACGGATCTGTCCTTGCGTGCTGCGGGGGTCGGTCGAGTCCCCGTGGGTTAGCCTCCCACCCGGAGAAAATCAATCCCACATCCGCGCAGCCCTTTCCCTCCCGGGGTGGCACACTCGGCGTTCAGCCTGTTCGTTTGTACCCGCACGCTGGTTGCAGCACTAAGCTGCAAAGTTATGTCCTGAAACGGGATCCTGTGTGTGTGTCTCTGAGTTCCTGCTGCTGTCCTGCTGTCTCTGGGTGTCTGTGGGAAAGATGCTGTAGGCATCAGCCCCAGCTAAGGGGAAAGGGTTGGGGAGACGGCTGTGGTTGATCTTTGTGCAAGTATTCTAAAGCAGCCCTACACATCAAAAACCAGGATGATTTTTGGGGAAGCTGAAGAAATGGTGACTGTTGGGAGTAAAATAAGCCAAAAGTTAGCCCGAATTCTTCCGGTTTTGTACTTATTATCCTGAAAACTGTCTTGGCAGAGCAATTAAAGAAATGTTGTTTTACTCCAGAAGCAGAAAGTGCATGCTGCTGTGTTTTGTGTTTCCCCATGTAATGACTAAAGTGGAAAATTTCTAGTGAAGAGACTGTGTAGCTTTCTGCTCTTGCTTTGTATTTGCTGAGTAGTGCATATCAAAAAATCACCTTCCCTTTTCACCTGAAAGCTTTTGCTTGTTTATAGTATCAGCCATACAAAAGCCCCGCTGGCTGCAGGTGGGCCTTATTGATATTAACAGGCAGCTGGAGCTCCTGGAAATGTAAAATGAAATGGTTACACCAGGGAAGTAGTTCCCTTAATCTCAAGACCCCCTCCTAAGATCAGCAAAAATTACTTCCTGCCTGGGAGCAGTGCTTTGGCTTAACTGTGTTTATCTAGTTGGGATAAAGAAAGGAGGCAACAATCAGATGAGCAACATAATTGTGCTTTGGTCAGCCAGCACGCACTTATATTGAATCATTGAAAACAATTCCGGTTCCTTTTGGGGCCCCTGAAAAAAGGGGCAAAAAGGAAAAAAGAAAACCCCCAAAAACCTGAAAAAAAAAAAGAATAAAAAAGAAAGGAAACCAACCAACTTCCCTTCCAGAAAAAAAAAAAAGCAAAAGGTGAAACCGAATGGGTTGGGAAAAAAAAAAGCAAAAAAAAAATAAAAAATTAAAAAAAGCAGAATTTCCTCCGGTTAAAAAAAAAAAACGAACAAATCAAAAGCTTGGGGGCCCAAAAACGAAAGTTTAGCACGAAAAAAATGATCCTGAAATTTTTTTTTTTAGTCTAAACTTTAAAAAAAAATTTTGGAAATGTTTGGATCTTTTGAAGGTCATCATCAAGTTGGCCACAAAAGGTCAAGGGAGAGTTAGTTTGCTGTCTTGCATGCTTCTTTAGAGATAATAAAAAAAGTGTTCCTTGGAAGAACTTGCTGTAAAGGGCAGATCAATTTTAAGGGATAAACAAACATCTGTGGCCCCTGCTGTCTTGTTTTCTATTAGAAAGAATAATAATCATCTTTTGAGACTATGGGTTTTTCCAGTGTGGAGTTTTTATTTTTATTGTATGCTCACTTCCAAAAACCTGGCAGCTCCTTTGCTTTGATTTGTAATCCCATGTAATTATAATTAGATTGTTTTCTCAGGGTCAGGATTCCTCCTTAGTTTGTGCTTTTAGTTTTGGGGGTTTTCTGGGTGGGGGTACTGCCTGTTTTTATTCTAATGAAGAAAGAGAGGAAAAACCGAGACAGAACATCATCATAGCTTGATTTGGACTTAATTTCTTATCAATCCCCAGGAGCTCTGATACTGTGGGAGCAATTTTTGTAACTGCTGACTCTTCTTACATGCATCTCACTATCCTTTGAAAGAAAGAGCTGCTCTGGATGAATTCAAGAGACTGGATGTTCAGATCACCCTTAACTCTCCTCAAAAATACATTTTTTTCTGTAACGTATTATGCAATGTTCTCATCTTTCTAAATAGAGTTTTATTAAATCTTAGTCTAATATATGCTCATCAGTGTAGTAGCCAGGGGTTATATTGAAATATCATAAAGAGAGCCAAAAGTATATTAATAAAAAATGTACTTTTGTTTGGCAAGTAAATCCTCACTTACCTTCAGTGGTCTGAGCTAACAGCTGCTGGATGCTCCGTCATTGCTTTGTATTCAGAAACAATGAAACAATTCTGGTTATTTAGCACAAAGTATATTTGATGTGCATACATATGAGACCTCACTGTTCCCCCCATTCCTCAGGGGTAGGATAGCTGTCCTTAAATTGTGTCAAGTTCTACTGTCTCCACAGCCTCTCTTCTAATGACACTCCCTTCTTCAGATGCTATATCCCTGTCCAGGCTTTCTCAGCTGTCCCTTCCTTGGTGCCTGTTTTACCCCAGCCTATGTCATGCTTGGGATTGATGGAGTGGAGGTCTTGCTATTTCTAGCCCTGCCCAGTGCTTTGTTTAGCCCCACTTCTTTGAGTGTTTGCTGGAGCCAGCGGTGGCCTTGCACCTTTCCTGAAGACTGGCATTGCTGTCTCAGACACTGTCATTATCCCAGCCTGCTTGACTGAGTCACTGGGAACGGTGCTTTTTATAGTGCTGCCAGTCATTAGACCTGGAAATGGTAATAAAGGACATAGTGCTTATTATTTAACACTGCTGAAATACATGTAGTGAAGAGGTCAGATGCATAATTTAACCACAGGGATTCCAGTGGCCATGTTAAATCACCCTTCTGAGCTAATGTCCTGACTTGGCATATAAATCTTGGTCTTTAGCTTGGAATATACATAAATATCTTCCCATAGCACAATTCACTTGCAAGGCCTTTTCACTGCTAAATGGTTCTTTGAAGATTTCATCTATTCTTTATCACAACATCACTATGCTCTTATAAACAGAGACCATGTGTATTTCTTGAGGTACTTCCTAAACCAGCCCGTAGGCAAAAGGCTAGAATCATCTCACCTGTGTCCAAAGGAAGGATGCTGAGAAAGACTTTTTTTTTTTTTTTTTTTTTTTTTTTTTTTTTTTTTTTTTTTTTTTTTTTTTTTTTTTTTTTTTTTTTTTTCCTCCTGTGGGGAAGCCCAAGATCTCCTTTTAGCCCTTTGTAAAGTGGTGCTTCAGGTAAATGATTAGCATTAACACAATGAGCAACCTTATGACAACTAATATTTGTAGCCATGAAGCTTAACGGGAAGCTAGAGTGTGTACTCAGCAGGGACTTTTCTAACTCTCTCACTTACTTCTTTAGTGCCTGCATCTTCTGACCATCTGCAAAGCCAGCTGTTATCATGGGACAACATTTTCATGGAAGCTCTTAGTTACAGGACTGATGGTTGTTGGTTTATTTCACTCCGTTACTAGGATGACCAATCCTCTGTGTTTGATTGCATTAAGTGGTGGGGTTGTTTGCTGTTCTGCATGCTGATTTGTATAATGGAGACCAAAAGCTGATGATGGGCAAGGACTGGACTTGATTAAATTGCAGAGGTTTATGGCACCAGCATCCCTCTGTGTGCACTTGCAATGTTCCAGATCATTCCACCTCTTGGGGCTGGTATAAGATGGAAGTGGTTAGTTGAAGGCTGCATTTTAATCACTTGGAGCAATTATGTAATAATATTTCATGTCTAGTCCCAAGGGAATTCCTGTTGTGACTGCTTTTATGCTCCAGATGCCTTGTTTTCCTGCAATGCTTGGCTCTCAACTTCCCACTTGATTTGGGTTGAGTCATCTTCCCAAAGTGACATGGCAATCGTTTTACCTATTTGCCACTGGTTCAAACATTCTCATAGCCAATTTGGCTAAGCCTCTAGAAAACCATCCCTGCCAAAAAAGTGGAGCTGAAGTCAGAAGAGCCAAATGGTCCAGGGGCAAGGATGTCTGAGCTTGAATTGGTTTGGTCTATGACTGGTGCTCTTTGCTCCTGCAAGGGGAGATGTCTATGCTTAACCAGTCTTCCTTCTCCTTGCTCTTATTGCAGTTCTTATTACTTTTCTGGGTACACCTTCATCTGATTCAGTTTATTAGCCTGGTAGAAAACTTCCTCTTAAAATAATTTTTTTTCTTCTTTTCCTGGGTGTTCTACTGGGTTAAATGAAGTTAAATTGTTCTGTGCAGTAACATGTGCTTTAGTCTGTGATGTTGCCTTGTGGGATTATTGCTGGTATCTGTAAGTAGCCAGAAATGATAAAACAAACAAATTTCTTTGTGATAATAGTGATGATGAATTTGGCATGGTTTGCAGAATAATATTTCTTGAGGTAGAGGATAGGTGTACATTTTAAATGTACGTTCAGAATATAGTTATTAATTACTTTGAAGGGAACCCTATGACAAGGTCCTTCCCAAAATAAGAACTGTGCCACCCTTATCTCCTCCATTTGTCCCTGTAATCTCATTTGTTTCTGCATATTCTCCAGTTGGCTGGTCTCTGCAAAGAGACTTTAGAAATGCTGATGCTTCTTTTTTTTCCCTGCAATGAACAGTATTTGTCAGTGTTAGTTCCTGGCTGACTGGCTTCTACCTAGTCCCAAATCAATGCAGACCTTGAGTTATTGTACCCACTATGGTAGTTGGGTCAAAGGGGCAATATTGAAGCTACTACATCACTTTGTTTCCACTGAACATATTGAAAGGGGTGTAGGGACCTTAGTGCAAGGCCTAACTTACAGAGGGCAGAAAGCCTGTTCTAAATTTCTTTCAGCCAAGGCTTTGGAATGACTCTCAGCTTCTAATGGGTACTGAAGGGTCCAACAAATCCCTGTGGTCAGAGGTATCCAGAAACACTGCCAGACCAGAGCAAACATCTACTACTGTTTTATTTCATGGCTTCCTCCGCTATGCGAGAGATCCCAAATTAATTTTTTTCCTTCTTCTCTCTGCAAGTTAGCTGATAAAGAGTCAGTGGTTACTGCTC